ATGAGAATTTTAATTTAATTTATCCTCTGGTCATCATAATGTTGCATTGTGTTTTTAGTGTTTATTATTGCTTTCAATTGTTTAAGAATTCTTTTACTTTTACTTTTTACTCATTGTACAATATTCATTATTCAATTTCTTCCAATACACAAATGAAGATATTTTCAAATGTATCATCAATGTGTTTTTTATGTTAAAGTTTCATTTCTGATTAGCTCCTGTTCCAGCATTAACACCAACAGATTCAACATGTAATCACTTGACATTTACTAATGATTTTCTAATCTATTCAGCATATTTGTTAATGTGGCAGAAATTATGTGCTAATTAATGGCCAATATCAATTTCACTTACACTCTGAAAAGTTTTCGTGTTCATTGAATTTTCTACAAAATAAAACTACTTTCCATATCATACTCAATAACTTTTTATTTGAATTAAGATATATCAAAAATTGATCAAATTTTCTCAACAAAAAAAACAATTTCGTGGAAAAAAAACAAATACATTTCCTTCTCTTTTTCTCAATTCCTCTTCCAAAGTGTCATTTATTCATTTTATATTTTCTTCTTCAATGATATTAATTTCTTTGCTCATTTCTATTACTACGATCAACTTAGGATCATCGTTTCAGTTGGGCCAAGTTCAACGTGTATTCCTTCATGCGCAATATATACACAATGCATAGGCGGGTCAATTTGTTTCAAAGGTCAATGCATGTGCCCATTCGGCCATTTGGGCTATCATTCAATGAAAACATCAAAGCTTACGGTATTTTCTTTTTGAAATAGTTTTGCAAAGAGAAATTGAAATTTTTGTTCGCTATCTTTTCAACGCTATTTTAGGCTTTAAACGATCAAGGAAAATCATCGGTTGTATCAGATAGAGTTTCCACATCAATTACAATGGGTAAGATGCAATAGTTAATATATCTTCCAGGAATAATCTTTAAAAAAGTTTGTTAAATTTCAATTTTCAAAACCAAAATTTTACATATTTTCAAACTGTTATCACAAGTATTATCAAAAGCATAGAATTAATAACTAATTTTATAGTAGGACCTGGTGATCATTGTAATTGGACAATGGTCTGTGGTAGTGGTTCATCGTGTATAATTGGTAGATGCATTTGCTCACCTGGCTATATACTTAAGTTAGAACTTTTTAAAATTCATGACCAATTTCAAATTCATTTTTTCTAACTTGTTTGAAAACAAACATGATATATTTAAGCTAAATATGCCGCCTACGACTTTTTAATTAATTGTCTTATTGAAAACATCATTACTATTATCAATAGGAGAGGAAAGATGTGGTTTAATTTTGCTGATTTTAGTGATCAAAGAAATAGCTGCGTGAAAAAATCACCAAATCTGCGGGCAATATCAATTAAGAGTAATCCCGGTGAAAGTTGCACATTGCTTAGAAGATGTATGGGTGGTTCCATATGTTATCATGGGATATGCATATGTCCAATGCACAGTTATTTATTCAACAATGTCTGCATTTATCGTTGGAAGACATCAAAATAATGTTTGTGACATTTTCAAAAATTATATCTGATAAATCAGCAATGTTTTTTTAATAGCTCAAAGATAAACGAAAGTAAAAAGAATATGATATTGTTAAAATTACAGTGCATATTGGTTTGGTGATAAATTTGTGTTAACGAAATTGCAATTATTATCATTAATATTGTAAAGCGCAAATGGAAATGCGTTTAAATCCAATTTGTGTTCGAGCTCAGTAGTATGTTATTTTTGTAAATTATCAAAAAAAAATTGAGTAATGAAAGCTATTTTAATTAGACAAATGCAAAATTTACAATAACTCAAAAAATGTTCAATATTTTTAATCTATTTCAATGTGCACTACGATACTGATCTGTTTTGAAAATTTCAGGTTTGCCAAAATTTTGTTGTAATTTGGAAGCAAATTTATGTCTTTTCACTAAAATGTAATTTATATATTCTATTCATTATATAAGCAATGTTATTGGTACATATGTTTTAATATAGCCTTTAAAATTTTCAAATTTTCACTTTAAAGAAAATTTATATATTCTATCAAAAATTTTGACATACTAAGTTCACAAGATTTAAAGAATTTTAAGACAAAGGAGTGCAACTCTTTTTTCGTTGCAGTAGCCAAGTCAAAATTATAGATA